CTCCGCCCATGCATCAGCAACTAAGACAGCCAGCCGTGTCCGCGGTTACTACGACCGCGCGCGAAAAAAGACCACTTGTGATCCGAGACCCGACAACCAAAACAATTGTCCGTCTTTCAGAAGACTTAGAGAAAACAAACGTCCCAGACGGCGTACCTCCTGCGCCAGTGGCGCCGGAGGAGTCACCCCCAACTAAAAACACCGGCGATCACACTGTTGAAAGGTCTCCGCCCGTACCCAAGCCTCTGATTCCGTTGGAAGAATTACAGGATATTGTGGCCAAAGTAGATCCGGTGGTCAAAGAGGAGACTGTCCCCGAGGTTTCAGTTCAAGTCGAAAGTGAACCCGAAGTTCAGCAAAATGATTTGGGTCAACGAGCGTCGGACACGGATGCTGTTGCCGTTGAGTCGAAGGTAGCCCAACTACTGGGCGAGGCAACGGATGTCGAGTCTAGTGCTGTAAGCGACGAAGGAGAAGAGGATGATCTTACTCGAAGAGTTTACAGTCGAGCATTTCTTCTCAAATGCAAAGAATCCCCTATTACCAAGTATCCCCCAGAGGATTTCAGAGTAAGTTCTTTTTTGCTGTCTGACCGAAATTTAGCATATCCCTCTAATGATGCCCATTCGTTCACAAAAGGTGAGTTAATTCATTACTGAGCTAATTTTAACAGAATCGTAACATGAATCGACCGGCCCAACGTGTTATTAGACTTAATACTACGATAACCGTGAAACGAGTGGAAGGCGCTTTTGTACCCTCAAGACTTCAGAAAAAGGAAGCTGATGGAACCGGTCATAAACAGCTATCCACCGAGTTGAATGTGATACTCAATCGCTTATCAGATGCGAACCTTACAGAAACCATTGCTGATGTTCGTAAACTTACCTTCAGTTCTCCGGACGATTTGCAGCTTTTAGCCAAACTGATATTCCAGAAGGTAGGTGGCTTCGTGCTCTCAACGGCAATCGTCTTTAGGCTATTCACCAACCCAAGTACAACAAGGCCTTTGCAACACTGTGCAAGCACTTGAAAGGAGTATGTTTCATTGTGTTTTCTTTACTGTCCTTAGTTTAATGTTCAAGGTTCAGATAATCTCGAAGTCATGGTTATACAACAAACTCAAGAGCTCTTTAATACACCCTTAGATGTAAGCTCACTTTAACGGTCGCCTGTTATCTTCAGACCCTGATTGCTGAGCTAAATGCAAACATTGATTCGAAAATTGAAACGGCTAAAGACGAATCGATCAAGAAAATCCTGCGCGAGAATCGGGAAACAAATATACTAAAGAGGACTGAAGCATATTACGGAAATATTGCTTTCCTGGCCGAACTCTTTCTATGCCGGCTGTTTTCACCAAAATCAATGTTACAGTGCCTGCGGAAGCTAAAGGATTCTGCAGCTCCCGAATCTCTGACTTCATTAATCACTCTCCTGCAAACGTGTGGACCTGAATTGGAACAGCAGTCCAAAAACCAACTAGATGAATGCTTTGCCAAATTAAATTCTGTCTTAAAATCGGACAAAATTCCTGCTCATCAGTTGTATAAAATTCAAGAATTGATTGAGTTACGTGCCCGTGGTTGGAAGAAATTAGATCCAACTCAAATGGCTCCCAGTCCAGCCGAGGCTCTCTCTCGGCGCAGCACTGATGAAAAAATGCGCCGGCCTCACTTGCCGACAGCAATGGAAGCTAGTACGTGTTCTTTTCTGTGATTTATTCATTATAACAGAACGAAAACCGGCCCAATCCGTCAATCCTTTGATGCCCTCTAGCCTGGCAGTCACTCAACAGCCATACGATTCAAGAAAACTGGGGCCAGCCTTTGCGAATTGGTGTCAGGGCAGCGGGAAAATTTCAAAAACTCCGGCAGAAGACGGGTAAGTACTTGGGAATGTTTGAATGCGGACGTACTCTTCGGAAATTCCGTTGGCTACCCAAACTGTTTAGCGTTCACACAAACTAATCAGATAATTCAAATGTTCAGTCCCTTCTCTTCAGTTTGCCATGTCGTTATGAACAATCTTGTATTATGAGGCTGTGCTGCACCGCAGAGTTATATCAGTTTTCTTTGAGAAGGACGTTTTGGCCAACGTTCGAATGCACCTGTGAGTAAATTGGTTGTAGGCACCCAATCCATGTGTGTATATCTTTACGGATGCAACGCTAAATGACTTCGTGGTTACTTGAACTGCTTTTCCTAATCTGTTGAACGATACAACAGGTCTAGCGCTTGATTGCGGCAGTCGGTGGAATTGAATTACTCCGATGGACGGTCAACTATCGATTGCAATCATGTGACCAGACGCCTTTAACTGGAGATAACCGAGCGATTTCGTAACGTAACTGTGCCAGGTGTCAAAATGCGTTCATCCAGAATCATGGACAATTCACGCCTTTGTTTTGTACCACGATCTTAACGACCTGCCTGGCGGGTGGGTTACGCTATCTTACAACTACAGAAATTGAGATGTGGTGGAACTAGACGACTGCCATTACCGTGTAGTTAAATTATGCTGAACCGGTTGATGGTCTGACATTGGAATATTTGGTCGTAGTCAAATTCTAATGCTTCCCACTAGGCTTGTGTGGTAAATTTCGTCAAGTACAGAGCAAACAAGATGCAGACGGGAGAGATGAAAAGCGCCGTACGACTGTTTTGTGCCAGTATTTGATCTCGGTATTGCCAAACTATTCGAACGCAGGACCTCATAGATAAAGCGCAAGAAGGCGACCTGTAATATGCTTGAAATAGAACGTACATCAATAACCGTTAATGGATGAGCGAGGCAGTCGAATGCGAGCCAAATCTATTTGGGAGCTGAGACTGTTGGGTGTTTGGGTATGCACCAAACATGAGTCCACTATCGCATCGAATTGAGCTCAGTAAGCTCCGTTGGTTGGAATATGTTTTGCGTATGTCTAACGGTCGCCGCTGCAGACGAGAAGGCCCTGTAGAGACCAGAAGATGAAGTGAAGACGAGGGAAGAAGAAATGCACAGTTTGAGTGAATCTTTCTTCTCCTGGGTTGTGGTCAAAAAGATTCCGTAATCGCATGTTTGGACACTGAAGGTCATGGTGGCAAATCGACAACAATGTCTAGGCTGCTTTCAATTACCGGGCCAGAATGCTTGAAAACGTGCATGCACCATTGAACTGTGCTCCCCGTGTGTTGACCATAGGGGTTCGCTTTCTGTCCCCTCAGTAAGAACAAGCCCCACCCGTCCTCCTCACTTGTCTTGTATACACTGAGTTGATCATCGAATGGTGAAGTTCGCCTCACTGTATTACCCTGTACAATGGTGATGACGAAACGGGTTCCTGTCAAGGGTGCTAACTGAATATCAGCGAGAGGGGATATACAGACACCATAATCCTTGGGGTGGCGGTGGCGCAGTGGGTTCGTATCACAATTCAGTTCAGTTTATACAACCATGAACCATGCATCTCAGTGCGTCGGTTTAGGTTGCTGTCTTTTGGCTGCCCGTTTGGATGAAAAATAGGAGAAAGACACGAGAGTTGAAAGTGGCGTCGGACAGGAAATGGAGAATTTCAGTTGTTCAAGGTTACAAAGAAATCAAAGTGCACAAACGCCACTGTTTACGAAACTCAGTCATATCAATCAGTGTCTTTAACCATCGGGTACGATCATCCCGAGGTCCCAGTCTTTCAGACTGACCTAACCTATGTGACCGGGTTTTCATACCCTCGTCTTACCTTAAGCACCCTTGACTTTCTTCCACTCGCTACCTGTCTCGGCGGACATCGCTCGCCGTGGCAACCTATTTGGTGACATGCGTAACGCATGCCCCAACCAATGTAATTTATGGTCGATTGCTTGCTCCAGTGGGCGACCGCGGTTGCCTAACCTCAGCATTTTTCGTCCGGTTGTCTCACCAGATTCGGGCAATGCTGAGCCGAACGCTATGTTCAAACACTGGAAGTCTATCTTGATCCTGTTTCCTTGATAGCTAAATTTCTGCACCGTATAGCGGCACTGACCGATCTCCCGTGGCATACACTTCACCCTTCACAGACAACCGGATGTCACGGCCCCACAAATGTCTCGAGTTAGCAAATACCCACCGAGCCTTCTGTATGCAATCTGACACTTCATGTTTATCACAATGTGATAAAATCGTTCCTTGTGGACACGGATACAATCCATCTGGACTGGTGGCCATTATCGTTACATACTGAACCCAGAATTGCTGCTTTGAGGATTTTTCCACTTTCGATATGCTCGGAATAGTACAACCATGTTCATTCGTGGTCATCCTTCATTTTGCAAGTACGATGACCAGCCGAAAGAACGATATGGCTCTGATGCTTGGTAGTCAAGAAGTGTTCATAGTGGAGTGTTTGAACTATTTCGGTATCTGCATGATAACTGATGGTGACGTAGTCAAGCGAGTAACCACTCGCATTTCCAAGGCTAGTGCAGCTTACCCAGGTTTGAAACGACTTCGGTGCAAACTTGATGTTCAATGCGCCTGTACAAACAGTTCTGCCTTACGCTTGCGAGACTCGTAATTTGAATGGGGAAGATATCGTCTAAAATTCTATGACTGCCGATGGTAATGTAGTTTGGCATTAGTTTGAATGAGCATGTAAGCAAGATAAGTGTTTTGTAACAATTGGTTGTGGGGGTTCCGAACGCTTGAAAAGTTACGTACGCACACTGAGATTGTGCTGTATTGACCGTAAAGCTTCGCTTTCATTGCTTATCTCCAATTAGGCCCAGTTTATCTTCATCTTGTGCTTTATCACTTGATTTGTGTACGTTGTGAGCTTGGCAGTGATCAGTGAAGTTCGTTTCAATGTATCTCGCTGTACGACGGTGATGATGATCAAAAACAGTACACCCAGTAAGCCGGAAATTTTTGAAAGCTCTGACGTAGTTTAGTGATCAAAACACACCCAACATGAATGTGGCTTACTGCGGCCGGCTCCAGCGTCACGGCGTTTTTTTATTATGAGGGCGCACCTCTAGCGTTTGTACAACCAAGTGCGAACTATAGCGCATCAGTAAATAATCCCTCGCCTCTGAAGTGAGGGGTCAATGGCTTTAGTTTTAAAAGACCAGTCACATCGACCTGTGTCCCCACACCGTTAAGGGGGTTATTCGGCCTCCAAAATGGGACGTGATCAGCCTGAAACCAACCATATCCTGATAGTGCTTTGGCTGTTTGTTCGCGACGGCTTACTTGTTGCAGTATGCCACAACTTATTTACAGCTAACCTTCGATGAAGGTATCCCCCTATCCACAACCTGAGGACGCGCCTGGTAGCACTCAGCTCTGCTTAACCCGAAGATAACCCGGATCTGACAATCCCATTAGCAAGCCTGCGGTAAATCCTAGTTTAGCTACTCATACAGGCAGCAGCTTGTTTCATCTCGGGAGTACATTGTTCACATTAGGTTCCGTTTTTCTCATTACCCACAAGACCCGATCTTACAAACTAGGTGACACTATACCTGTAGGACAGCACTGTTGTGACGCGTCGAGATGCTCGAGGAGTCCCGCTGAGATCCGCTTTTTCCTGTCGCACTGTGGAGCCGCATGTCATGATAGCAGCTCGCGCTGCGCATGGGAATCAAAAGTTTCGGTTGTTTTGAGGGTATAAGATAGTATGATTTTCCGACGTTAAACAGGTTTGTGATATTTCTTTTCAACGTATGGAGTTGTTTTGAGCAACATTTCTCTCATCAATGCGTTGCGCATGTCTTGGGACTGTGGCAGGTCATCATCTCAGACCGAAGTGCAGTAGTGCAAACTCAGCTGGTCATTACCAACCTACACAAAGTGAAAGTGAAACGCAAATGAGAAGTTGGCCGTATTCAGTGGGGGAGAAAGCAACTAAAACTGTAATAGGCAGTATACAAGTTAGCTGTAAACTCATCTCTTTAAACCCTGTCTGAATAGAAAGTGAGGGATCCCCTTCCTTTGAATGTTTTCTTTCAACCACCCACAGAATCCTAACGCCAGCCTTGAAAACTTGAAACGCATTCTAATTAATTGCTCAACGCGCTTCATGCATTGCCTAACGTTTTCTGTTGATAACATGATCTTTAGGCTGATACGGTAACTGCTAATGACTCGAAGTGTAAGTAGCAGCTGCATCAGATAAAAGTCAAAGATTGTTCCAACTGATGAACAACACAAGATCGGTGATCCGGAGTGGGTGAAAATCTGCAATAAAAGGAGGAAAGGTTTTCACGATAAAGCAGCTGGATCGCTGGGTGGAGCACTTAAGCAAATGGTTCAGTTATCTGCCATTTGCCAAATTACCTTATCTTCACCTGAAGCTCCGAGGACAGTGTTGCGCGAGTAGAAGCTAGAGTTCGATCTTGCATACAAACTGATGTGAGGATCGAATGCGCTCCTTCCGACCCTCATAGATGAGTGATGCTAACCTTGTAAGCTCTGATAATTTAGTGAACGCTTGGTGCAAGAGCCCATTTCTTCACCTTCAGGCCAATCACTTCGTTTTCATTTTCGAGAAGGAATCTCGCAACGATTACGAAAACCACCGCAAAAAGGTTCATTTCTTTGCGTCAGCAGTGTCAAACTTTCGCAATGCTTCGACGTCTGACTCCTTTTAAAGAGGTAGACATACGTTAATCGTAAACCGGATTAGTTGTGGATATGTGAATCGAATTTACGGTGCGTCAGGTCGTTGAGGTGCGTCGGCCTCATCGTTATTCAACGATGCCTGTGTTCCTCGATCTGAAACGAGCCTTCGATTCAGTTGACCGCAAAGTAGTAGTGGGTTCAATTCGAAATCAATTGTCCGAGAAGTACGTCGAAATACTTAGTTGACAGTGCTGAATATTCTGAGCGAGTGAGAGTCTGTAACGAATTAAGAGGACCGTTCGTCAAGCATGCTGTGTATCATTATTTTTGTTCAATTTTTTCGCAAACGAATGGCTCGAGAAGGCAGTGAGTAGGGCTTCCTCAGCCGAGGCTGTTAGGGGCGCTGCGTCCTATGACAGCATTTAGCGAGGTGAAGGGGAAGGTGACCAACCGCGAGCCTGGACACCTACCGCGTCATCATCATCATCGTACAGCGAAATACAGTGAGGTGAACTTCACTGATCGCTGCCGAACTGGCAATGCATACAAGGTTAGTGGTAAAATTTAAGGTGAAAAGGGATTGGATCTATTTTCAGGGAGGGGGAAGAATGTGAGCCACTTTGGTCAACACAGAGTACGCAATCGAACTCTGCTTGCATACCGTTTCAAGCATTCTGACCTGATAAGAAATGACAACAAGAACGCCACTGCTGCCGGTTCGCTGCCATATCCTTCGATGTCTCCAATCAACCAGTTGTGGAATCCTTCGGACCCCAAACTGGAAAGTTTCAGTCACCTACTCTACCTAAATGGTTCTGTGCGATTCCTCATGTCGCGTCTCCGCGTCATCTGTTCACCTCCACGCGGTTTCATCCAGCCCGGATTAGCTACAGCTAATAATGAGCGGTGCGACAGACGACAGCTGGACATAAGGCAGCGAGGTCTACTAGTCTGAATTCCGTGTGCCGGCAGGTTTATACCTGATTGACTCTCAAACACGACGGTTTATCTCCATGTTACTAACCCGTTCGCTCCATCAAATGTGGAGTGGACTACGTAAACACCGAAAATCGAAAAATTTCAGTCAACAGATGTCTACTCGCAAATTCAGGGTCTCATAACCATGAAGAGGAACTGAACGAACTCTGGCACAATGTACGTGAACTTTCAACTTCAGTGAAACGTCGCGTGTTTCAGTCCTGCTCATACTGCTCGAGGCTTGGAAATGCGGGCGGTTACATCTTTTGCTGCACTACCGTCATTATTAACGCAACTACCTAAGTAGGAAAAGTAGTCCACCACAACTAAATCCTGGTGGTTTAGTTTGAGAGAGGTAGTGAACGAAACCCTGTCCTGCAGCATCATTTTGCACTTTGAAGATGCAAAGCACATACCGAATGTGGCAACTGCACTTGTCAGTCTATCCAGTGCACTTTGCGCGTCCTCCGTACATTCGAACAGACACGATGTCATCGGCTTACTCTAAATCGCACAGCCTTTCTCCAGCTGCCAACGCCTACTGCCGACCATACTGGAGCTTTCGGGAGGCCGCTCCGGGTCGGAGGGAACCCCGTGTATGTCACGAGATGATATGGAGACTGGGTACGAAGAAATGCAGATTAATTAGATACGTTTGGTACTTCGCGTTTCGAAGTTGTGGTCCGTGAGACGACGTAGGTTAAAAACAGGAAATGATAGCGAACCGACGGCAATGGGATTCTTGTCGCTCTTTTACCAAGCCGGAAAACTTGAGAAATTACAGAGGCGAATTAAGATTGTGAACCCTGAATTGATTGTACAAGGTTTCTTTCCTCCATGCTTCTCAATAATGGGTCCAACATATAAAATATTTGATCTACGTATTCGATCCGAGTTTTGCGACAGTCAGTGAGTTTGCTTCGCTGTATTTCACTGCAGGATGATTTTGATGATGATAATGGTGCGGACCTTTCTTTGAACTTAATATACTGGAACCAGGTTCCGGTTCTGAAGATGCACCGAAAAGCTGGCCTTCGCCAGGTCCATATTGTTCGTTGAAAAACGGATCCAGGCAACCGTTGTTCCCTATCGCGGATAACTCGTCTACATTTTTCACATGGTTTCTTGCATTATTGTCTACCTGGTAGGTACGCTATATTGGGTTTGCAGTTCATCCAGCTTCCCTTTCGGTTGCTGCTTGCGATGCGGTTTGCTTGATTTCATCCCTGAGCACATGATTCGTCATGCACTGAAATGCTTTTTTCAAGTGTCGTTGCGGATGTTCACTAATGTATCTACTATGAACTCCAGGGCTGCGTTAGCGACTGGGCGCATATTCATCAACGGTTGTCCTACTGTCTGCTTGTCGAGAACGCAGCGAAAAGCTGTCCGGAACTGCTATTCATCGTTTTCACATACCAGCAAATCTTTCTGTAAACAATCCCGGCAAGATTTATGAAAATCCCCCTCGTTTTCCTGTACGGTTGAAAAAAAAATTATCAACATTCCGTAATTTAACCAGCGAGTGATTCGGGAATAATGAATTGAAACCCAACATTCGCATGTGCTACCATTCCATGCAGGGTAACGGATGTGATGAAGTAATTGGCAATGCATGCGCCGTAAAAATTGATTGTTTATTCTGGATGATCTTTGAAGGCTCCGTTGGATGCAGTGTTGCAAACATTCTGTGCATATCTCGGAGATTGCAGAGCGCTTTTTGTGGGTAGTGCCGAGATCAGGCGCTGGAAATTTATTCTCGGGCTGGTAAATTAGAAAACTTCCGCCTATATCCTTCATGTGAATACTCCTTTGACATCGTCAGATTTCACTTAACCTAATTCATCAGTCCATCAGTTGAGTGGTTTCCCGAATGGTCGCGGACGCTTCTTGCAATCATATGCGGAAAACCAAAAACGGGAGCCGTGTCAGATAAAGATAGGAAAATTATGGAAGTGCGATTGATCAAATGGATGCTCTGGTGAAGCGACCACATGCGCGTAGTATTAGCCGAAAATAATGCTTATTTTAACGTCAGCTGATGCTGTTTCAGAGTCACTGGAGAAGTTCTTCGATAGCACAATCGAGGCTTTTCTATAACCACATTTATGTCCGCAACTCCTAATTATTGGTGGTAGACAGCTTTGCTGTCACCCGGTTCCATACCACGTCTGACGTATCAAGGCCTTTTGTTGTTCGCCACTTCCAGTCTCGGAGATCAGGTTGCCGGTTATCATAACTGAACAATAGGTCTTCGTGAATATGGGGTCCGTCCCGTCTGCTGTTAATCACACTGATGTGTAATAAAAAAAGTATAGGTGTTCATCTTTCTATCCTTGTAGAAATCGTAAGTGTATGAAATCCAAGTGTTTCTAAGAGGACAGCATAACATCTTGTGTTTCGAAAACAATTATTTGATTGAAAACCTGTAGAACTGTGCACAGAAAGCAGTTTCCATCACTTGGATGTCATGAGAACCATAATATTCAAAATAGCACATTTTTCTAGGTGAAGCTATATATAGCTCTAGCTCTTGCAAAACCTTTAGCTGACTGAGAGACTGCAGGAATAGTCATCTGATGAAGAATATCGTTCGTTACCGTCACATTGGATTGTGGTTTTTGTTGCACCGTGGTCTCAGATAGTGGGAACCCGTCAACAATTCAGATACTGCTCTAGAGCCAGGAGCTACTCTCGCTACGGAATGCATTACTCGTCTAATCCGATCCCATTGTTTACACTACCACACTGCAGGAAGTTGAGCTCTTGCCTTGGTTTTAATTCGAGGCGGGCCCGAACGCCTGGGTCCAATAATCTATAATCGTCCAAACCAGTTTGGTGGGGTTTTCTGCTACCAGCGCGTTAGAGAGTAAACTGCTTCGAAGGTAACGCTCGACCAGATTCAGCACAAATGGTCCAATAGAACCTTCAGTTTTTAACTGAGCCACGCCAGCGGTAGCTTCCTGTGTGCTCGATTTGAGTGGGCGTGCCAGCTGAATAGAACACCACGTTGTCCAAAGAGGGGGAACTTCTGCTTCCTACCCGTTTGTTGTTGCTTGTATGTTTTTGCTAAAAGCCGCATTCGATGATCGAACCGAGAGCCCCCATTATAAAGTTCTTCCTTAGTAGTTCATCAAACCCGGCCACTTCGATGATAGACGTTGCAACGCAAAGCTGATCCAGAACATCTGGAAGGTGGTTGCTTTTGTTTAAAGTGTCAATTTTCGTGGTCGGAGCATCGAATCTGTGTAAAATGACGTCCATTTTTAGTATTTGTCTTTAAGCAATTTATGGTTATATTATGCTGATCGTTGTATGTCCTTTTTCGTCTCAGATTGATGAAGATTGTAGGAGCCTGGTCCCAATCAGGACATTTTTTGGTTACAAAGAAGCCGCGAGCCCTACTTACAATAAGTCGTTTGGGACTTGAAAGAAAATTCGCCGGACACTTTTCAACACGATCTGTTAGTCGCTGCCAATCTTCACTGGAATTATTCAGGCTTGTGATGGTAGCACTCAACGTCACAAACTGCTCGTCTAAACATTGGTAGTAACTTAATCGTTGCTGGAGCGTTCTCGTTGTATCGCGATATAGATATTGCGTCTGCGTTAACGTGATCATACATCCTTCAAATTTGATTCTCCACTTTTTCTGTAATTTAAAAAAACTAGTGCCGTCAAAACACTCGGATCGGTTGTTTCATCTTGCGCTGTCGGCGGATAAATAACTGTGCTGCGTGTTCGGGTGAACTTTTGAAATATCTGTTGGTATCTTATGTTGACTACAGGCTACACAAGACGTATTCTGATTTTCGTCGTTTCCGATTTTAGCTGTTGCCGTTTTTTGAATCAATGTGTCGATTGTTTTCCATTACTTCAGTTCCCACGCTGGTGAAGCGGGGCTGCTTTCCGGGGCGACAAATCGATCACGAGAGGCGTCACCAAGAGTCGGTGGACTCCAGGGTGCTTGGGCAGCCCGTGCATCGAATAATGCAAAGCCTCGTGAGGATTATTCCGTGGTACTAGAACGAAATCGCTGTAAGGCTAGAAAAATTGTGGATGAGCTTCGTAATGGTGAAGAAGACAGCGGGTCCGTCCTCCAAGAATTGCCAGAAATGGACCGTTGTGCTGTGTTGCATGCGTTACTCGAACTGTCCATGGATAACGATGAAAGGTTGAGGGACTCTATCGGAAAACTGCTTGCGGAGCTTCTTATGAAGAACCAAATATCCCTCTCCTTCCTAGAGACTGGGTACGTGTTGTAATTTAGTGCACAATTGTTTTTCACCGTATATTTTAACTGATTGCTAGAAGCTAAAGTGCATAAATCAGCTGCACTGCCGATTAAACCGCTGTTGGCGAACGTGTTTCCCGAACCTCATGTACGCCTACCGCTTAGTGAGACCTGTTATCCAAAGTGCAAACCTTGTTGAATTATCACAATGCTCTCTCATGTCATTTATTAGGAGTGTACCCATAAACCGGAAGCACGATTTTACTGCGATTCAAAGTCATTTTGTTTGAGGTTCAATTCATTCAGTAGTTGTGATGGTACGCGTGTTTGGAGTTGGACACAAAAGCTAATAAATAAACCGGAACATTCAGGCTTTCAATCATTATTGTAAGCTGATAAAACTTTCTGTGGCGAGGAGGTTGGACTGTTGCTGTTATTATGTTAGACTTTTCCTTCGTGAGTAAAATGGTGCTAGAAAAGTAAATACTGTGTTGCATCGAGCAATGTATCGTCGTAATATTTGCATCAGACCTTGTGTGCAGGTACAATATAAGCATCCGACGGAAGAAATTACCTTCTTTAGCCAGAGCTAGATGCTTGTGAGAGCTAGATCACTCAAGTAGAGATTCCGAAACATCAACTATTTCCCTGCCCTCCGTTACTAGCAGGCCGAGACCGAGGAATGTCTTCTGATAAACGAAAACATTCAGAACATTCATGCGCGATCAGATACTACCGATCGTGTCGCTGGTCTGCTCTACCCAAACATGCGGGCCTTAAGTGATTCGCCACTCCAAGTGCGGGAGATGAGGTCCCCGGTTCCCATCGCTGATTATCAGGCCTTCGTGTCTACGGGGTACGTCTCGTCTGTTGTTAATTACCAGTATGTAACAAAAGCACGTTAAAGTGCATTCTCTTCAGCAGTTATAAGAACAAAGAACGGATTACTACCTCCAAGTCAGGAAATAATGGCTCTTCTGAACTGTCTACGCCGACACTGCGTCGTCAACAGTAGCGCTTGCCTAAATTCGAACGCAAGCAACAGAGTACCGTGATAAAGTGGCCCACACTAGCAGATGTCATTACGGAAGTGAAAGATTTGGGTCTGGTTGTTGCTATATTGAAAATGCTTCTGAACCTTAGCAAACCACTAAGCACGTTTGAATGTCGCTTTTCATAGGTGCAAGATGTTCTTCGAGAAATGTGATGAGGACTTTCTGGAGGACTATCCTAAAGGTTGGGAGTATATTGCTCAAATATTGCAGCATTTGATAAAGTCAGACGGAGACCACTTCGCAGCAGTTTTGTCCATTCTGAAGCATTTGCAATCTGATGGGCGCGGAGCAACCGTTTTGGCGCATTGTCTCCGTTTGAGTGCGAAACGAATGGGTGAAGAGAACCTCGCAGCGAAATGGCGGGCTCGTAGGCTCGACTGGAAGAATCTGGGTGTTCAAGGTGATGTCGGGGCATTCATCGAGAAGCATATGATCACTTTCACTATTTCTCCAAATGCCAGTGAACGCATGAAACAATTGGCTGAGCTGTGCAAAAATTCATCGACTGCAATGGAAGAGATCATGGCGTTTTTCAAGCAGTTTTCCACCGTGCCGCCCAATTTTGTACGGTCTTGTGTGGAGACCATGATCTCAAACTCTACTGGTGAGTGACTATCTTTGTCAATCCTCCTGCTTAATTTCATTTTCAAAGGATTTTAGACATCGAGTGAACCCAGATGAGGTACATAAATTTTTCCTTTTTACTTGTATGCTTTAGACCATCCTCAGGTCGGTCGATGAAGCAACATTTCGCCATCATACTCGAGTCTTTGATGACTGCTGGACTAGAGTCAACTAACATTTTGGAAGAGAAACTAGTAATGGTTAGCGTGCTTATGGAGCCACAGAACAGGCACCAATAAAGTTTTATTCGTCTGGCAACCTTGCGAATACCGTATTTAGAGTAGTCAGCCATAATAGGTAATGGTTTCATATCTATAAATTGAAGCAAACTGGATGAACTCGAAGATTTTTAGGTTCTATGCCACGCCCAATTTCGCACTTCATTTCCAGTAAATCGTTGAATACATCAACGGAGCAAGTGGTAGTAGGTTTTCAATACACTTTAGGGATTACAGTAAAATAGTGGATGCCTAAAGGCAAAGAGCATGCTGCATAATAGAGTAAGAGACAGCATTCCGGTGAAAACCAGATTCTTGACGCCATTTTATGGGGGTCGCGAACATTCAAGTGTAGAGCCAAAAAGACAGGTGTGCGACAATTCCATATAACAAGATCAGAGTTCGACGACCGATAACCAGAGTATGATGGGGACGATTAGGCACGTGTAGGCCCATGTACGGTATGCACGAGTGAAAGTTACACGAAGAACTAAGCCAATCTTCAAAAAATCAAAGCTGTTAGGGACAAGGGAAATGAAACAGTAAGGCTGCAGATTGAAAGTTGGAGAAATTTATCCACTTTGCGTTGAACACAACCTAAAAAAAATAGAAGAGTGGAATCCACCAGCGAGAACATGACTGAAGTGTTCAAAATTAGCGCAGATCTGGCATTGTACAGTGAGCTACGAGTAAGAAGCATCTGGAACGGGAACAGAAAACAATCTTACGCACGTGACAAATACCAAGCTCAAAATAAAAAGTTAAGCTCAGAAAAAAAAACGAAAACAGTTGACGGGACGCGTCCAAGTGAAATCTGAATATAAATTGAAGTGAGAATCATTAAAGTTTTACAGTTCAGTACACTGACTTGTTTATCACACGGTATGAACCCAGACGCGTGCGAAACAAAAAAGTGATAGAAAACCATCCAGTGACACTGGTTGCAATTTCGTCGGTGCTGTTCTTGGTGTGCAGAGTATTTCCGTTTAAAGAAGCCTCAGCGAAAATTTATTTGAAATGAGAGTTTTGTTAAGATTATTGATGAAGGGAAGAGTGCGCGCCCGTACAGAAACGGCGGAGACAGTCCACCTAAGATGAAAAATGTTCTGATTGTTGTGGCGTTGAACACATATGTATGAAAATATATATATATATATACTTTGAAGAATAAAGTCGTTCTAAATAGAGACAGATTGTAAGCGTTCCAAGTAAAACAGCAATTCTCTCAAATGGGGGAGATGGGATTTATCAAAGCCGCCATAGTTGTCTGATTTGTAGCGCCGAATCATCTAATGAGGGATGCTTATTTTAAAGCAGTAACAGGTAGCAGTGAGCCAGGTGGAAGATGAATACTGATGTCTGAAGAAAACAAAAGAATGAAAGTGAGAATTAGATCGAGCGTGTGGACATGTTTCGCTCTCGACAAGGCGCAGACGTCAACTATCTAGTTCACGTTGATCAAAAGGAAATAGTCGGCGTCAAATAGCGAACAAGAAGTTACAGCAGGGGTAGTCAATCGTTCTTTTTCGAAAATATTGACATCCTCCGAGGTAGAAAAAGCGAGAGAGGGAGAGTTTTTTTGAAGCCATTGTGTTCTTACGGGAGAAGAGGCCTTCAACGTACGAATGCAACACCTGAGAAAAGGAGCTAGCTATTAAGGCTTGCGAGAGAGAGCAAGTTTGTGAAGAGGAAGCGACATGTTCACTATTCAAAATAGGAAATAATATCAACTGAATAAGAGTACACAAAAGACTGCGGGACTGCTATTGAGTGACTGCAAGTTACTGTTCGGGATGAGTCGTTCAAGAGGCGCTTAGCTATTCGTTGAACGCGATCAAACACGCTTAACCCCAAAAACGACTACAGAATTCCTGGGCAGTGTGCATCTGGGTTTGAAGAAAAAAGATCAGATAAGAAAGGTGGATTAACAACGCCTGGGACGGTAGAAGAGGTAAAACGAAATAAGGCTGTCGAAGTATTCATGGTTCACCATTGAGAAACTCCAGATGAACTATTCTGGAGGCACTCACTTTTTGTTCGTGAAATCACAGATACCAGGTTTGGGTGATGATTGACGAGGTGAGAATTTGTTTCCATCGAGGAATCACGAAAAAATGAAATGGTTGAATAATTTACAGAATCATTCTTGCGGATCAGCGTTCGAAAGTTGAGTGGGCTGGGTACATGTTGCGCAGCAAAGTTAGCAGAGCGGGTTGAAGCGTGGAATTGTATTGCTCTGAAAGTGTGCATGGGGAACCTTTAAACATGCTTAAGATATTTGGGGGTGGGGGCGTCTCTTTGTGGGCACCAACAGATCAGTCGTGATAACGATCGTCGCTTGATATGGACATGCAGCTAGCAGGTATTCATGAGTACTACTGCCCGTCACACACGAGTATAATGAAAATTTTGCACTTGTAATCACATAATTATTGAAATCAACGCTTCTATGAGAATGCGTTCTTATCTGAATTAAAATCTCTGTCGCACAGGTCTTTCGCGGTCGCAGATTGATCACCGGGTACTAGGCCTGAATATATTGGTTGATCACAAACCTGACCGAGAGGCTGAGGTGGTACAAGCGCTAGTTGAATGCTCGTCCCATGGTGAGTTCCATCTGCTCCACAATTACTGTTACGATGAATGCTGGCGAGAAAGTGATCCGATTCAACTTCATCTTTTAATTTTCTCCTTTCAGCAACCATTGATCAATGGCGGAAGTCGTTGCTGGACAAAAAAGTTATTTCTTCCGAAGCCCTCCGAACAAGTAACGATTCCATAACCAAAAGCCTTCTTCGTGATTCATGATATTTTATCCCTCTACTACTGGATGAACATGTATTAGATTGGTCACTCGCCCGAGTGCCTATGTACACAAACCCCATGCCTTGAACAAGAAACTGGTATTTCCCGGAAAAAGTTCTACACTGTCCACTGCGGTGTGGAATGTTTGTACACAGTTGTTATCGATTATTTTCCACGGTTCTTTCTCGTCCAATTTCTCACCATGTGTTGCTCGCGGAATTGGGCTGATTATTTACTGTACCATAGATCACTTCGATTATGACTTCGATCTATCCGCGAACACCTGGTGCCATCAGTAAATGCGTATGTTCTATCCCATGCATTGCTCCCTTCGGCGCTTAACAGACCGCGTGGTTCTGGTGCTATGCCTTCTTGGTCGTTGTCTATGTTCTACCCGGTCCAATACCCTCGCTCATCCTATAGACAGACTCCTCGCATTTTGCTCTCTGTGAATTTTTGGGATTGGGTTATATTCTAAAGCGCACGGATGAATATGGGTACTAATTCGTCGTGCTTAGCTTACCTGTTAATCGTTTTCTTCCATACCGAATGCGTTCACAGTAGCTATTTCACAGGTCGGAAGACGGAGTTAAACAAATGTTGGGATGTCTGAACAGTAGCCCACTTCCACCCCATCCGATGCCATGGTTATCACGGTCTAGATTAATCTGCGCGACAACTGTTCAGTATGAACTTATTTTTTTTGTTCACTAGAACTTTATGGACGGGTACCGCCAGGGTGTCCGGCCCATAAAAAGGAGAACGATTGTGGTTCTCCGCCAAAGCCTATAGTTCTGACAAAATGTTAACCGTGAGCTATTTTTCTCTGATCATTTACTGCTCCAACACGTTTTACCGACTCGATGCCAACTTACCCAGATCCCCCCTCGTGGAGTATTAGAGGACTGACCTCTAGACATTGACCTTCCTGGCGTGATTAGGATTTTGGTCTGACGGAGGCAATCCTGTGTGGCTCGTTGAGTCACAGAGGCGCGTAAGCCACCATACCACGTGAAGGTGCTATCTCGTCGTGATAGTGAGTAAACTGAATCAAAACTAACGCATGATCAAATTAAACGCAGGTGGTTCAACGATATTCATCACAGTAGCACGCACGAAGGTCTACTTGGGTTTCCCGACCGGACCCTTCAGTTAGGGTTTGGTTCACAATCCATCCTACCTTCTAGCGGTAGCATGCGCCCGAAGCAACCGTGTGGAACGCCTGAGATACTTTTGATAACTATCCTGCATAGTTTCCAGGGCCAAGGTGGCGCCCATTTCAGAGAGCCTATCGCAAGTTGCAGTCACATCGTAATATAGCGCCTGTGGTGGATACCCAGGCAACTGTACGGTTCAGTCGTTCTGCTGACTGAACCCAATACCTCAAACGCAACGCACTATTCCTGGTAGCTGTTCAGAAATATTCTCATCCGTTGGTTTTTTGCTCACGGAAACTGGCTCAGTTCCCAGTCACTATTTACGACATGCTAACTGTAGTCCATCATCATTTCTCATCTGGTACAGAAATTTTAAGAACTGGTGTGATTTCATCAACGGAAGTATTTTCACGGTTATTTTGTTACACCAAATCCGGGCTCCGAATTGATTTACCTGGTCGAGGGTTGGCAGAATAGTTTCATTTATTAAACCCATTTAACAAGCAGACCGAAATTTCAAAATCTCGAACCTTGGGAGGCATGTTTGGCCGGTCATTTGTAAGTTTCTTAATGTTTGGATTTCCACAATATGCTCAACTTGCCTAAATAATAGACAACATTCACTTTTTGTTTCTTGTAGGTATAGAATCATACCTATGAAGTTGGCGCACCATTTCCTAGTCCCCTTCTAGAGATGTTGAAAGTGAATAACAAGCCCAACCAACAAGAAGTCAGCTCAATATTCTCAATCCCCAAGAAGGCAAAACCTAGCCAGATGTGTACCGCCATTGTAATTGAGGAAAGTTCATCGAAGCCCAGAATTTCGTGGCGTTCCTCAAATCGGATTTTGCGGATCTCTGGCCCCAAACGTGGGTCTATCGAGTGAGGTTTACCGCTACGCTTGCAGCTGATTCGTCTTGATAGTTGGTTTTAACAA